ATCACATTTTAACACACTCGGATATTCATTCTTTTGCATGTGACATTTGCAAAGCAAAATTTATACGAAAATCGGATTTGAAGAGTCACAAATTTATACACTCGGATATTTATTTTTTCAAATGTAACACTTGCAAAGTAAAATTCAAACAAAAAAGCCATTTGAAGACTCATCTATCAACAGACTTAGATATTTATCCTTTCGAATGTGACCCTTGCAAAGCAAAATTTAAACAAAAAGGAAATTTAAAGCATCACATTTTAACACACTCAGATATTCATTCTTTTGCATGTGACATTTGCAAAGCAAAATTTATACGAAAATCGGATTTGAAGAGTCACAAATTTATACACTCGGATATTTATTTTTTCAAATGTAACACTTGCAAAGTAAAATTCAAACAAAAAAGCCATTTGAAGACTCACCTATCAATAGACTTGGATATTTATCCTTTTGAATGTGACACTTGCAAAGCAAAATTTAAACAAAAAGGAAATTTAAAGCATCACATTTTAACACACTCGGATATTCATTCTTTTGCATGTGACATTTGCAAAGCAAAATTTATACGAAAATCGGATTTGAAGAGTCACAAATTTATACACTCGGATATTTATTTTTTCAAATGTAACACTTGCAAAGTAAAATTCAAACAAAAAAGCCATTTGAAGACTCATCTATCAACAGACTTAGATATTTATCCTTTCGAATGTGACCCTTGCAAAGCAAAATTTAAACAAAAAGGAAATTTAAAGCATCACATTTTAACACACTCAGATATTCATTCTTTTGCATGTGACATTTGCAAAGCAAAATTTATACGAAAATCGGATTTGAAGAGTCACAAATTTATACACTCGGATATTTATTTTTTCAAATGTAACACTTGCAAAGTAAAATTCAAACAAAAAAGCCATTTGAAGACTCATCTATCAACAGACTTAGATATTTATCCTTTCGAATGTGACCCTTGCAAAGCAAAATTTAAACAAAAAGGAAATTTAAAGCATCACATTTTAACACACTTGGATATTCATTCTTTTGCATGTGACATTTGCAAAGCAAAATTTATACGAGAGTCACAAATTTATACACTCGGATATTTATCCTTTCAAATGTAACACTTGCAAAGTAAAATTTAAACAAAAAAGCCATTTGAAGACTCACCTATCAACAGACTTAGATATTTATCCTTTCGAATGTGACCCTTGCAAAGCAAAATTTAAACAAAAAGGAAATTTAAAGCATCACATTTTAACACACTTGGATATTTATTCTTTTGCATGTGACATTTGCAAAGCAAAATTTATACGAAAATCGGATTTGAAGAGTCACAAATTTATACACTCGGATATTTATCCTTTCAAATGTAACACTTGCAAAGTAAAATTTAAACAAAAAAGCCATTTGAAGACTCACCTATCGACAGACTTAGATATTTATCCTTTTGAATGTGACACTTGCAAAGCAAAATTTAAACAAAAAGGAAATTTAAAGCATCACATTTTAACACACTTGGATATTTATTCTTTTGCATGTGACATTTGCAAAGCAAAATTTATACGAAAATCGGATTTGAAGAGTCACAAATTTATACACTCGGATATTTATTTTTTCAAATGTAACACTTGCAAAGTAAAATTCAAACAAAAAAGCCATTTGAAGACTCACCTATCGACAGACTTAGATAATTATCCTTTCGAATGTGACACTTGCAAAGCAAAATTTAAACAAAAAGGAAATTTAAAGCATCACATTTTAACACACTTGGATATTTATTCTTTTGCATGTGACATTTGCAAAGCAAAATTTATACGAAAATCGGATTTGAAGAGTCACAAATTTATACACTCGGATATTTATTTTTTCAAATGTAACACTTGCAAAGTAAAATTCAAACAAAAAAGCCATTTGAAGACTCACCTATCAACAGACTTAGATATTTATCCTTTCGAATGTGACCCTTGCAAAGCAAAATTTAAACAAAAAGAAAATTTAAAGCATCACATTTTAACACACTTGGATATTCATTCTTTTGCATGTGACATTTGCAAAGCAAAATTTATACGAAAATCGGATTTGAAGAGTCACAAATTTATACACTCGGATATTTATCCTTTCAAATGTAACACTTGCAAAGTAAAATTTAAACAAAAAAGCCATTTGAAGACTCACCTATCGACAGACTTAGATATTTATCCTTTTGAATGTGACACTTGCAAAGCAAAATTTAAACAAAAAGGAAATTTAAAGCATCACATTTTAACACACTTGGATATTCATTCTTTTGCATGTGACATTTGCAAAGCAAAATTTATACGAAAATCGGATTTGAAGAGTCACAAATTTATACACTCGGATATTTATCCTTTCAAATGTAACACTTGCAAAGTAAAATTTAAACAAAAAAGCCATTTGAAGACTCACCTATCGACAGACTTAGATATTTATCCTTTTGAATGTGACACTTGCAAAGCAAAATTTAAACAAAAAGGAAATTTAAAGCATCACATTTTAACACACTCGGATATTCATTCTTTTGCATGTGACATTTGCAAAGCAAAATTTATACGAAAATCGGATTTGAAGAGTCACAAATTTATACACTAGGATATTTATTTTTTCAAATGTAACACTTGCAAAGTAAAATTCAAACAAAAAAGCCATTTGAAGACTCACCTATCAATAGACTTGGATATTTATCCTTTTGAATGTGACACTTGCAAAGCAAAATTTAAACAAAAAGGAAATTTAAAGCATCACATTTTAACACACTCGGATATTCATTCTTTTGCATGTGACATTTGCAAAGCAAAATTTATACGAAAATCGGATTTGAAGAGTCACAAATTTATACACTCGGATATTTATTTTTTCAAATGTAACACTTGCAAAGTAAAATTCAAACAAAAAAGCCATTTGAAGACTCATCTATCAACAGACTTAGATATTTATCCTTTCGAATGTGACCCTTGCAAAGCAAAATTTAAACAAAAAGGAAATTTAAAGCATCACATTTTAACACACTCAGATATTCATTCTTTTGCATGTGACATTTGCAAAGCAAAATTTATACGAAAATCGGATTTGAAGAGTCACAAATTTATACACTCGGATATTTATTTTTTCAAATGTAACACTTGCAAAGTAAAATTCAAACAAAAAAGCCATTTGAAGACTCACCTATCAATAGACTTGGATATTTATCCTTTTGAATGTGACACTTGCAAAGCAAAATTTAAACAAAAAGGAAATTTAAAGCATCACATTTTAACACACTCGGATATTCATTCTTTTGCATGTGACATTTGCAAAGCAAAATTTATACGAAAATCGGATTTGAAGAGTCACAAATTTATACACTCGGATATTTATTTTTTCAAATGTAACACTTGCAAAGTAAAATTCAAACAAAAAAGCCATTTGAAGACTCATCTATCAACAGACTTAGATATTTATCCTTTCGAATGTGACCCTTGCAAAGCAAAATTTAAACAAAAAGGAAATTTAAAGCATCACATTTTAACACACTCAGATATTCATTCTTTTGCATGTGACATTTGCAAAGCAAAATTTATACGAAAATCGGATTTGAAGAGTCACAAATTTATACACTCGGATATTTATTTTTTCAAATGTAACACTTGCAAAGTAAAATTCAAACAAAAAAGCCATTTGAAGACTCATCTATCAACAGACTTAGATATTTATCCTTTCGAATGTGACCCTTGCAAAGCAAAATTTAAACAAAAAGGAAATTTAAAGCATCACATTTTAACACACTTGGATATTCATTCTTTTGCATGTGACATTTGCAAAGCAAAATTTATACGAGAGTCACAAATTTATACACTCGGATATTTATCCTTTCAAATGTAACACTTGCAAAGTAAAATTTAAACAAAAAAGCCATTTGAAGACTCACCTATCAACAGACTTAGATATTTATCCTTTCGAATGTGACCCTTGCAAAGCAAAATTTAAACAAAAAGGAAATTTAAAGCATCACATTTTAACACACTTGGATATTCATTCTTTTGCATGTGACATTTGCAAAGCAAAATTTATACGAGAGTCACAAATTTATACACTCGGATATTTATCCTTTCAAATGTAACACTTGCAAAGTAAAATTTAAACAAAAAAGCCATTTGAAGACTCACCTATCAACAGACTTAGATATTTATCCTTTCGAATGTGACCCTTGCAAAGCAAAATTTAAACAAAAAGGAAATTTAAAGCATCACATTTTAACACACTTGGATATTCATTCTTTTGCATGTGACATTTGCAAAGCAAAATTTATACGAGAGTCACAAATTTATACACTCGGATATTTATCCTTTCAAATGTAACACTTGCAAAGTAAAATTTAAACAAAAAAGCCATTTGAAGACTCACCTATCGACAGACTTAGATATTTATCCTTTTGAATGTGACACTTGCAAAGCAAAATTTAAACAAAAAGGAAATTTAAAGCATCACATTTTAACACACTCGGATATTCATTCTTTTGCATGTGACATTTGCAAAGCAAAATTTATTCGAAAATCGGATTTGAAGAGTCACAAATTTATACACTAGGATATTTATTTTTTCAAATGTAACACTTGCAAAGTAAAATTTAAACAAAAAAGCCATTTGAAGACTCACCTATCAACAGACTTAGATATTTATCCTTTCGAATGTGACCCTTGCAAAGCAAAATTTAAACAAAAAGGAAATTTAAAGCATCACATTTTAACACACTCGGATATTCATTCTTTTGCATGTGACATTTGCAAAGCAAAATTTATACGAAAATCGGATTTGAAGAGTCACAAATTTATACACTCGGATATTTATTTTTTCAAATGTAACACTTGCAAAGTAAAATTTAAACAAAAAAGCCATTTGAAGACTCACCTATCGACAGACTTAGATATTTATCCTTTCGAATGTGACACTTGCAAAGCAAAATTTAAACTAAAAGACTATTCGAAGAGTGTTGCCACATTTACCTGTTTTCCAGCACTTCGTTTCTTTTCAAGGCTTTGGTGGCTTCGGGCCCTGTCAAAGCTACAATCCGTCTGATACCTTTCGCTATGGCCTCTTCGCTACTAATCACAAAATCACCAATATGACCTTAGAATGAAAAATTGGCAATTTAAATTTCTTAAAACATTTAGTTTTTTTACCTGCATATTTGACATGGGTACCGCCGCAAAATTCAATAGAAGTACCATCTCCGGCAGGTCCAAAGGGGTCAGTTTCAAGCTGCTCAACTGGAATACCCACGGACACAATCCTGACAGGATCAGGATAAGTTTCCTCAAAAACGGCCCTCAATCCCCTAATAGTTTTCGCTGTTGCCAAATTGGCCTCTTTAGCGTAAACTTGCTGGTTTTTGCCAATCAAATCCTTAGAGTTTTGCTCAGTATTTTTCACTTGCTCAACACTAAGAGCGCCTTTATTGGTAAAATCAAATCGCAACCTGTCTGGAGCTACAAGTGACCCTCTTTGATCGGCCTCAGTTCCTAAAACCTTTCGCAAAGCGTAATTTAAAATATGCGTGCCTGTATGGTTGCTCATAATCGAGCGCCGCCTTTCGCTGTCGATGTGCAAAGTCACTTTGTCACCCTTCTTCAAGGTACCTTCGATGTTGCCAATATGGACGATGTAACCGCCCCGAACTTGGACGTTTTTGACCGAAAATTCCACGCTGTCGTCGTCGGATTTTACAATGTAGCCAGTGTCGTAGATTTGGCCTCCTTGTTCCGCGTAAAAGTTGGTTTTGTCCAGCAACAGACCGCATTCCTGACCGCTGGTTACTTCTTCGACAAATTGTTTATTGAATCTATATAGGAAAAAAACGAGTTGTTTTCTTGACTTTATGAGGAAATTTTAGTAGGTAGATGTGGCAACAATGTGTTAAAGTGCTACCAACTACAATGAAAGAAAGAGATAGATAAACAGACAATGTTGCCAACGTTGACATTTGTATTGCTAGATCCATAAAAATGTCATTTTCCGGTTATAATTTTTCACTAAATTTTTAAGTAAGTTGGCAACACTCAACTCCCCATAATGATCGCTTATGAAAAAATATATCACCAATGTTGCCAACTGTAAATTATAATAGATAAAGTACAGGTTGGCAACTATGAAAAGAGCATTTCAATCTGAGGTGAAAGGGGAGGACAAACGACATAGAAATACACAGTTGCAAGTTTTCCAACTATAATTGGTTTTTCAAAATTAATAATCAAGTTGGCAACACTGAACAGTAAAAAGTGAAAAAAATCAGTATTGAAAAAAAAAGTACATCAGCATAAGAGTAACAAAGATAGAGAGACAATGTTACCAACTGTAAATTTTACAAACTAGATTAGTGATATTTTCAGTGTTGTTACTAGATCCTTAAAATCGATATTTTCCGTTTATAGTTTTGGCAACACCGTTTTAGACAAAATTGATAATCGAGTTGGCAACACTGAACGAGGATTCCCCATGATGATGGCATAAGAAAATGCTAATAAAAATGTAGGTATCACTTTATCAAAATAACATATGCACAAAAGTGCCAATTTTGCCAACATGATTTTTTTGATATTTAAGTTGGCAACACTGAACGGGGATACCCCATGATGACCATCAGGACTGCGATCACGACGAGTAGAATTCTACTTTCATGACGTCACCCGCGTCGTAATTATTGCGTAAAGTACAAGCGATTATGACGGTTGCTAGACAACCTGACGTCATGAAAGTAGAATTCTACTTGTAGTGATCCCTATTCTTGAAATTGGGCTCATGAAAATTTGTCTTTGTCCAGCTTTATGGAAATATAAATATGGGTGACGAAGATGGAACCTTTGTTCTCATGAGCACGCTGCTCCTTTGTTTCGAGAATAAGGACCCAGAAGAAATACATATTGCAAATACTTATAAAGTCGATATTTTCCGGTTAGAAAGTAAAAGACCGACAATGAAAAACCAGACAGTGTTGCCAACTGCGAAGAAATTGTTGATCAAACTACGGAAATACAGACAATTTGACATTTTAGTTTCTTACCTTAATCCAATGACAGTAGCTTGACAACTGGCAAACTGATAAGTGTCATCGACCTTGGCACCAGCTTGGTAATCGTACTTGGCTGAATCGTCGGTAGGTGGCACCCCCATAGTTTGCAGCTCCGTTATAGAGTGAACGTCCAAATTAATGGTGTCCGCCACCCCGCTGCCTTTGCCTTGCGATATTAGTTGCGCCTGCTTTTTGGATTCTTCGTAGTCGGACATGTTGACGTTTAAACCTTTTTCTTCGGCCATAAGTGAGGTTAGGTCTACGGGAAACCCGTAGGTGTCGTAGAGTCTCCAAGCCACATCACCGGGGACTTCTTTGCAATTATTGCCCAGTTTCGTGATTGTTCTATTTAATAAGTTCCTACCTCTGCTTAAGGTTTTTAGAAATTGAGTTTCTTCTTCATTTATTGTGTCTATGACGGATTGAGGATCTTTGGTGACTTCAGGAAAAGTGTCTCCTAAAAGATCAACTACAGTGTTGACTAATGTAGCGAAAAAGCCTGGCTTGGCGTTTAGTTTTTCGGTAGCATATCTCACAGCTCTACGTAAGATGCGTCTCAAAACATAACCTCTACCAGTGTTGTCTGGATTTCCACCATCCGATAATGCAATTGTTAAAGTCCTGGCATGATCTGCTAAAACTCTATAAGCCATATCGATTCCGTCTGTATCGGCTTCGCCTACTCTGCCTTGATAAGGTGGCGCCCCAGTACCTTTTTCAATAGCTTCAAAAATTGGTACAAATAAATCCGTGTCATAGTTGGAACGTTTATTTTGAATAACTGAAACTAAACGTTCCAAACCTAAACCGCAATCGATATGTTTTTTGGGTAAAGGTTTCAAACTTGCATCAGTCTCACGATTGTATTGGATGAATACAAGATTCCAAATTTCTAAAACATCTGGATCATCTTGGTTGACTAATTCTGGAACATCCCTATCCCCGATTCGGTCAAAATGCAGTTCGGAACAAGGACCACATGGGCCTGTTTCGCCCATTTCCCAAAAATTATCTTTCATGGAGCCTGGAATTACATGAGTTGGTGGTACTCCGAGGTTTAGCCAGATTTGTTTGCACTCGGTGTCCGGTTCCAGGCCGGATTTTTCGTCTCCTCCGAAATAAGTAACGTAGAGTCGGTTGGGTGGTAGTTGGAGTTTGATGGTTAAGAATTCCCAGGCCCAAGTGCAAATTTCTTTTTTGAAATAGTCGCCGAACGACCAGTTACCCATCATTTCGAAAAACGTGTGATGGTACACGTCTTTGCCTACGTCATCTAAGTCGTTGTGTTTACCTGTAGAAGGGTTTTTGTGTTTATAATTTGGAAACAAGTTGTTTCCAGCCAAACAGTTTTTGTTCTGGATAGCAAGCAACAAATTTTGATGGGAAAGATAGAGATAGAGATGAAGAATGATGAGGAAAATGAAGATGGAAAAACAGGAAAAATAATGATAAAAACAACAAAACTAAATTCATTGAAACAATAATGTTGATGACACAAAAACGAATTTGTTTGCAAAACTGGTCAAATTGCAAGGATCTAATTGGTTTCTGAGTCATTTCCAACCAATCAGATCAGAACAGTTCAAGAAGCACCTTATTTTGAAAGAACCATATTTGATTTATCCAAAATAAGTCTGACCTACTCAATAAGTCCTAAAAGTTTGTGATAATTTGAATTTCAATGTATGGCAATGTGTGACGTCAGTTATCTTAAATTCCACACAATACCACAAGATGGCGCACTGTCTTTTATAAGGCTCACTACTGTAATATTTGGCATTTGTTCTGTCACTGTCATTCATGTCAAGTCAATTTTATTAATGATTTAACAAACAATAAATTATATGATACAAAAAATACCAAAGTGAAGTGGTAATTAACGCACACAAAAATATAATTTTGACAGAATTGCATCAAGACACAATCAACTTCAATGGCGCCATCTTTTGATGATTCTCTCAAATCACCATAAGTGACGTCAGAATCATTTGACGTTGACACTTCATACTTCCTGATCAGATGGCTTCAAAATGAGTCAAACAAAATTAACAATGATATGATTGGTCTAATAAATAATAATAATAATAACTGGCTTTTGACTTCTTACCTCCTGCTCTGATACATTTCTGAGTGTTTACCGCTCTAACCAGTTTGGACAAGTCACTGTTCGGATCAACAGTTCCCAAGAAAATGGGTTTGAACTGGTTCATGCCGGCATTGGTGAAAAGTAAGGTGGGGTCGTCCAAAGGTATCGTAGACGAGGAATGATGGTAGATGTGGTTTTTCTCTTTGAAAAAGTCGATGTAGGCGTTGCGGACTTGTTTTGCTGACAACGCAGTCATTTTCGAAACTTGTGGAGAAAAAACAATTTTTGTAAAGGGGAAAAAGAGACAACTTTCGGGTTTTAGTGTGTAAGTATTTGCCCCATATGGAGCTCAGTTTTTCTTTATATAAATATGATGCAACTAATACAATAATTTCTAAATAAATACTTACCTCGGACAATAAACAAACTAATAAATAAATAATCACTAAACCCCAAAAATTCAATACAAAACAAGGTGAAAGGTGAAAAAGTTGGAAAGTACCCGATTCCGATTATTCTTGGAAAGTACCCAAATATTTTTTTTTTTTGAGGTTAGGTTAGGTTGCTCGAGCTCTTCTTTTTTTTTTTAGGTTAATGTTCGCGGTGCAACTGGAACTTGTTCGGAGTAAAATAAAATTGGTTCCTAGAGTGATCCACGAGCACATTTATTAGTTCTGATTCGAAACAATTCGTATGTGTAGTGTAGAGTTCTTTGTTCGCGATGCAACTAAGATCGGTTCCGGATCGATTCTAGAGCAGTTTTAACGGTTTTCAGAATTTGAGGATAAATTCAAGAGATGTTTATTTCGGCATAAAAATTTCCGAGTTTAAAGTTTCCTATTCGGTGCTCGTTCGGAGTAGAATAAAATCTTTAAAAACTGCTTTGAGGTGTGATAATTCCGGTTTGGAACAATTCGCACGTGCAGTTCGTAGTTGTTTGTTCGCGGTGCAACTATAAACTGTTTCGAAGTAGAATAAAATGACGTAAATCCTTAATAATGCGAGGCAATATTTGATAGTTCCAATAACTCTCTATTCATAAGTTCCAGAGCTAATCGTTCAGTCATTCGGAGCGACTCTTACTCTAAAAATTGGTGGAATGTGCAATGAACCATATGCTCCGACTGAAATGGGGGGCGGGGCGGCAAGTTTAAATTTTAATGCTGAATTTAATTATAAAATAAACTAATTAAAAAAATGCAAAATTAATAGAATAATCACAAAATTAACTGTCAACTTAACGTCATTTTATTCTAGTTCCAAGAAAACCCCTCTTCTTTACAGTGAAATTCATTGGAGAGTTCAGTACACACTGGATGTATTCTTGTCCTTTTCTACTAGTATGTAAGAGAACGTGACGGAAATACATGTTTTTTGCACTAATTATAACCGTATTCGTTTTTAACAACTTTTTCGTCGATTTGCACCAAAACTTTGATGGACACGTACCTGGATCAGATAATTTCAATTAACAAATCACGTGCCTGTCAAAATTTCGGAACAAATCGACGAAAAATATGACAAAAAATGGTTTTCGCTAATACGCATCTTACCGAGTTATCGAACTCGTCCTCCTTTAAGGCGGAATTTATAGACGCTCGTTGAGGTTTTATCAGACCTTAAGGAAACATTGAACGTTTAGAATTGACATAACTTCCTTGTCAAATAGTAACAAGTGTCCATTCTAAACTCACGACCTCAAAGGAAGACTAGGAACAACTATAAAATTCGGCCCTTAAAAACCCCCACTTCTTATCGAGTTATTGAACGCACCCTCGGATTGTCAAAAAATGAGAACATGAACAACCTAACCTAGAAACTAAAAAAATATAAACAAAAAAACAAATCAACAAATTATGCATTAATTCAACTAGTAAAGTAAATAAGATGTTAAATAATCTAAAAAACACCATAAAATTGACCCAAAGTGTTGTGAAATTTTCCCAAAAAGTCGCCAGACCTTTGCCGTCGAAAAAACCCAAAGCACCTGGAAACGCTGTAAGAAAAATCTTCATTAATTAGGCCACTTTCACATAAAAAAAAAAAAAAACATGTTTAAATATTGTGCCAGTCGTTTCAATAACATACTGGGCTAGGAATGTGACGTCAGAGCCCCAAATTTGCGATCAATTGTACTATCAAAACAAGGATAATATACACTACAAAGGATTGCTTATCGGCCTCGTTTTTGATAATCGACGCCATATTGGTGTGTCACCATTTCCGACGTCATAACTAAGTCGTCAGTTTTTTGCACTAGCTGTCGTAGTTTAGAATTTAAATTTATAAAGAAAATTATTATTTAATTTTGATTAACATGATAGGCAAAGAGAAAGATGAAAACGAGATTGTTTTAGAAGGTTAATTAATGTAGTAAAACCAAGTATGCATAAAGCATAAGCCCGCAAAATCATAACAAGCAAACAGCACAAGTACATGCCGCCTACGTCACAACTGGTGATTTGGCGTGGTGCGGGGCTTCAGATTTATTGCACACAGGCCTTAGGAGGATAGGCTATCCTGTAATAGTAGTGCGTATTATCCTTGCCCTCCGATTGTTCCTTCTGACTATCGGTTGTAGTTTATAGCGAATTCTATTGGCAAATTCAGTGCGTACTTAGTGTACTGTTGTGTCGTGTCTGTTCAGCTAGGATGTAGAAGAAAAGGACAGGAAAACATTTCTATGCACCGGTGATGCCAATAGAAAACACATTGTTTCGTTTTTGATAGTAGTGCGACATTGTATTCATGATTATAATTGAAAGGTAATGATTTCAGCAGATTGAAAACTAGATTCAGTTTTTCATTACTTATCGATAGTATGAGCCTTGACTATCGATGATGCAAACTAGCGATAGTTCTAAAATCATAACTTTTTTTGTATCAACGTGGCATCCATGCTAACAGTCGATTGAATGGAAATTTCGTATTTCCATTGTAGTAAGACTGACAACAAACGCATGAGAATATCGGCTTTAGCCCAGAACACTTCCTGAATCGCAACCATCCCAACGAGGCCTGCGGGTGACGTCACCACTGCTAATAATAGCAACGTCACTCGCAGGCCTTGCCGACTCGAGAATTGGCGAACTTACGCCTTATAAGGATGAACAATCCTGTTAGTTTACGATTTTTAGACTTTAAACCAATGAGAAGGCGTTTTCAGTCACGTAATTTTTTGTTTTTTGCTATTTTTATTACAATTTTCCTACCAAATCCAGCCTGTTTTTTCTTTCTTTTATCACAGATTCAAAGTTTCATCGACGCTAGGCAATTAAGAGTGGTCGGAGGCCAAGGAGGCGACGGTTGCATCTCCTTTCTCCACTTGTGGAGCAACGAAAACGCCGGCCCCGACGGGGGCGACGGCGGTCACGGCGGCCACGTGATATTCCAAGCCACCAGTGACGTCAGAGATTTGAGCCAAGTACCAACCGTAGCCAAAGCTTGTAACGGCGAAAAGGGCGGCAACAAAGATTGCAATGGTAAAAATGCTGAACATCTCTTACTAAAGGTACCAGTTGGTACTGTAATCAAAAATAGCGAAGGCAAAGTCATTGGGGATTTGAGCAAAGCCGGGTTGATGTTTGTAGCTGCCCGTGGGGGAGCTGGAGGCAAAGGCAATCACTTTTTTATCACTGACATTGAGCAAACGCCAAAAATATGCGAATATGGAGCAATGGGTGAAGATACAGAATATATCATAGAAATAAGAAGCATGGCTCATGTAGGGCTAATAGGATTCCCCAATGCAGGCAAAAGCACTTTATTAAGAGCAATATCTAGAGCCAGGCCTAAAGTAGCCCCTTACCCATTCACAACCTTAAAACCTTACTTAGGCATTGTAGAGTATGAAGACTACGAACAAATTGCTGTAGCAGACTTACCAGGCCTTATTCCGGACTCGCACAAAAACAAAGGCCTTGGGATACAGTTTTTGAAGCATGCGGAACGTTGTATGGCCTTGCTGTACGTTTTGGATGCTTCCCTGGACGAGCCTTGGACGTATCTGGAAACTTTACAGTTCGAATTGGCACAGTTTAGTGCAAATTTGCAGGAGAGGCCCCATTTGGTTTTGGCCAATAAAATCGATTTGCCAGAGGCTAGGGAAAACGTGCAAAAAATTAGAGATAGGACTGGGCTGAATGTGATCGGGGTTAGCGCTAAAACTGGCGAGAATTTGGGAAGTTTGTTGAGGGAGCTTAAAATAATTTACGATAGGAATAAGGATATGGAAGTAGGAGAAGAAGAAAATAAATTTTTATAGTTTTTAAAAGTTGGCACCATTGTTTTTTTATTTGAAATTTTACATGGCCTACTAAGATAATGAAAGTTATTGAGTTGCAGTGTTATACTAACTGTAAAATTTCGGTTTTAAAGATGGCCTACTAGGATTTGTAACTTATCGGGTATTGCCAAATGTAAATTTTTGTACCCAGATATTTGGCTCTAGTGTCGCCAACAAATAAAGATACGCAATACTGTGCATGTTTGAAATTTATAGTTAAATTAGGGTTTGTTTGTTTCTGTTCGGGGCAGCATTTCCTATTTTTGGGCGTTCGTTTCTGAGCGTTTTACATGGGTGGATCTGCCATAATCTCAAATAATACAGCTCAGTTCAAGTGCATATTTAGAGTTTATAGTTAAATTCCTAGAACTGTTAAGACTTATTTAGAATTAGTCTGGAGCCGATTCAAGTTGTACCGCGAACAAAGAACTTTGAACTGCATGAGCGAACTTTTCCGAACCGAAGCTATCACACTTCGAACCAGGGATTTTATTCTATTCCAAACGAGTACTGAATACGAAACTAAAACTCGGAACTTTTTTTACCACATAAAACACTCCGAATCAATTTTTAAGGATCCTATTCAACTCTGAAAAGGTTCAAAACTGGAAACGTTCGGAATTAATCTGGAAGTGATTCTAGTTGTACCGCGAAGAAAGAACTATGAACTGCACATGCGAATAATTGGAAATCAGGAGGCGAACCACAAACAATTGCTATCGATAAGAGAATTTCGCCTGACTTCTCACCTCGTCCACACGTTAGTCGCCAAAACTGCCAACCCAAATGTTCGTTTGGTGTGGCAGTTTTGGCGACTAACGTGTGGACCAGGTGAGAAGTCAGGCGAAATTGTCGAGAACTTATCGAAAGCGATTGTTTGTGGTTCGTCTCAAGAACTAGTAAATATTTTCTTGAATAATCACAATCCAAACTTTAGCTGGGATCACGATAAGTAGAATTCTACTTTTATGACGTCAGGTTGCTTAGCCTGTACTGTATGCGATAAATAAATCGCGGGTGACGTCATGAAAGAAGAATAAATAGTTCCGTATCAAAACTAATTAATAGATTTGTGAACGCCTCCGAACGAATTCATAACTGTTTTCGGGTGTTAAGCGTCAAGACTCTAGAGCACTCCAGTCTTGACGCGCATTGTACCCTTTATAAATAAATACACCCGAACCCTTACTTTTCTCAGTTGAATTTGACAATGTGACGATGAAAAAGGTTGGTGAGACAAGCACGAAGACAATACGATCAGCTCCAGAGTATGAAATCTGCCTAGACGAACGGGCTAAAGCGCAGACGAAGTATATGGGAGTAACTTTGGAGTGCTCAAACTGTGACACCCAAAAGCGGCTCAAAAATAATAAATGTGTTCAAAAATCACACTTGTCCTTATTGCACGTCCAATAACTCTCTAATATTGCAAAAAATAGCGGTTCTTGGCACTTTAACCGGGAGTGGATTTTGAACCTTAGCTTACCTATTCCAAGTATTTTGAATGTTTTGTTTGGTAAGTTGTTTTTTTTTAGCGTAAATAAAGTAAATCTGTTTACGTTCGTTCGGCTATGGTGTCGAGCACATAGAACTCACTCCCAGTGAAATATATACTACGTAAAGTGTAGTATACGAGTTGAGTTCGGAATGGGGTTTTAGTGCAGTGTTAGGGTGTGTTATATGACGTTATGAAAGTGTAATCGGCGGTATAACACCGAATACACCAAGTTTTTGTACCGAGTAATCAGTGTCCCAACCATTTTTACACCATTTGGGTACCAAATTATTTCCAAACGCAAATTAAGTGTACACTAATGGCGTTTCTGATTGGTAGATTCAGTGCGCACTGAGTGTATTTGCATCCTTTTAATCGACCTGTAGAAGAAAAAGACAGAAATAGAAAAAATTGCACTAGTTCCGCACTAGATCTACCAATCGGAAACGTCATAAGCTTACTCTCCATGGGTTCGGTATTTTGATTCTGAATTCTCTGAGAATGAATATACCGTTCGTTTATTCGAAAAGTGTACTCGGTGCACAGACTCATTTACGTTCGTTGATCTGTCCTACGGACATAAGGAGTAGGAACGCGCCATTCTGCTTATGAAACTAAAGTGAAGCCAAGTTTTCGGCAGGTGTTTGGCACCAAAATACAGGTAAAGCATTGAATCGCCTGGAATCGCCTATTCCGCCAGTTTTTTGGTGCCAAAATACCTGGAAAAATACGGCTTCATTTTCCAAATCCAGGTTACTATTCCTCTTTACCTTTACCTGCTCTAAGGTTTAACTGCTCTGTGCGCTCGCTGGCCACGTGAATGCGGCTCCACTCTACACGCTCTCTTCGAGCAAAATATCGAACGTCACAGTGTCAATAGTGTAAAAGGTGTCGAAACTTTCTACCCTGAACTCACCTACTCGGAGCTCGGAACTGACTGACACTCTAGTTCAATAATCAATTGGCAACACTGTTAAAATGACGTCATTCCTCGGAAAATCAATTTTTTGGTTGAATGAGAACGTGAGAACGAGACAAACGCAGTAAATAGTAAATCGACGCCATTTTAATTTTCAATTCAACATTTTCTTCAACGAAAAAAACTCTCTTTTTTTAAAATCCAAATTAAACAAATCATGGGCGCCCCGGCAGGTCGTGGTGGTCGTGGAAACAGACGCGGTGGCGGCGGTCCGAGGGGCGGCGTGCACAAAAGGGGCCGCGGGAGCGGCGTGAACGGCGGGCCCCCCATGGGCCGCCCGATGCGCGGCGGTCCCGGCATGAGGGGCGGCATGCGGCCCCTGATGCCGCCGATGCCGATGAGAGGCGGCAGGGGGATGCCGCCCCTAGGGCCGCCGAGAGGTATGATGGGGCCTCGCGGTATGCCGCCAGGAATGAGGTGAGATGATTTTTTGATTATTTTTTGTAGCCCTGTTTGTTATCATTTACCCACCAATTTACACTTTTCTGCACTAAAGCGTTTATTATGTTACAACATTACATACCTAACAATCACCCCAGTGCAGAAAAGTGTATATTAGGGTGCACAAGTGGAGGACAAACCAACCCAATATTTGAAGGTTAAATTCTATGATATTCTGTATGTGAAGGTGGATTTTATTGAATTTATCATTTCACTGTATATTTAAGGGTTAAATCAAGGTATTCTGTTCTGTATGTGGAGGTGAGTTTTGTACAGAAATTCAATTTATCATTCAACTCAATATTCAAGAATTAAATTATGGTATTTTACTGGGTACCTTTTTCAGAAGTGAAGGTGAGATCTTAATGTTTGGTGGTTAAATAATTAATATGGTATACTGTGAGTGTGAAGGTAATTTTTATATAAAAGTTTACATACCTATACCTACAGGGTGTCAATTTGAAAACTTTCAATGCAAATATTTCAAAAAATTATAAAAACATGATTTGATATAAATATTATACAGGTAAGTACCCCCTACCAACTAGAACCACCATATTTTGGTTTTAATGACCCCTTGCGCCCTATGTGAACCCCAACCCCAATATTTTAAATGGTACCACGCCTTTTGTGATACCTAAAATTAAATATTTTTTGAAAAAAATCTTGTGCAAGTGAATATCATAGTTACCATAGTTATAACAAAAAAGGTGGTACCATTCACAATTTTGAGGTTGGGGTGCATGGAGCCCAAGAAGTCATTCACCCCATAACCAAAATATGGTGGTTCTAGTTCCACCCCACCTGTATAATATTTGTATAGTATTTCCAAACTTAATTAGAACAAGGTACTAACTGGTGGCTGCCTGGTTACTGAAAATTTCCATAAAAAATGCACTGTCACTCACTAGTCGGCCAACAGTTATGATATATGTTCACCTTGTTCCAATGACTATCACATTTTTCTAACTTTTAGAAATATTAGCATTGAAAGTTTTCAAATTGACACCCTGTATAATATAATGATTGGCAGATTAAAATTATGATATTTTGTATGTGAAGGTAAGTTTTGTTGTGCACGAGATTGTGCAGAAATTCAATCTAATATTCAGGGATTGAATTATAGTATTTTGTGAGTAGAGGTGAAGGTGAGATACAGAAATTTTATTAAACTGAACATTTATCTTAATATTTGGGAGTTATTATTATAGTATTTTATGAATGAAGGTAAGTTTTACAAATAAAATTAACATTTAAGGCCAATTTATTTACCTTCTGATAGGCTGTCATGTCAGGTTTGCAATTTGACGGATAAAAATGCAATCTGTTGGTAGATAAAATGGTGAATTTATCCTGCAGATAGTTACCAGCAAGTTTATCTGGAGATGAATACTTAAACCCGGCCTTAATGATGTGAAGGTGTGTTTTTCTTTTCTTATTGTAGTGTTGCTTGATATTCAATCAAAATCTTGTAAATTGATTGATTAATTAAAACACACTTTTTATGAAGGTGGCTTTATATTTAGGTATATGTTTATCTTACAAGTGTTGGTATTAGAGCCAAATTATGGACCGACTGGTAAGGTCTCTGGCAAGTTTACCCTACTGGTGAACCTAAAAGTTGAATGTAATTTTTAGGTTTAGCAGCAGGATAAAATTGCTAATAATGTTACCAGTCGGTTCATAATTTGGCCCTATAAGAGAGACTTAAACTGGCATTACATTTCTATTTATGTTCAAACACCAAGAATGCCAATAATAAATAACCAAATGTCCCTAGATTAATAACTATAAAATTTCCTAACAAAAGTATTGCTAGTTGCCTATAAGTAGTAACAAATATTAATTTATTTATAATAATAAATCCTTGACAATAGCTATACTTTACATCCCCCCTCATAAGTTATTTTTATGCAATGAAATCAAAATTAAATTTAAGAAACCTGTACCTGATGAATTATTATAGATACAAATCAAATACATTATAATTATGATCAATAGTAAACATTTTAATTTTATGGGTACCCTTAATATACAATATTTACAAATACCTACCTAAATATATATACAGAGAGCCTAAAAAACTTATTTACATATTATAACAATTTTTTGAAATAATCACTTATTTTTAACAGTACTTCTTAGAAAATAGGGTTCCCTAATAAAACAAGTTTTATTAATAGGTTGCTTCCCATTTACATCTACAGGTTCCTCTTTTATTCGAACATTAATGGTGTGGTCTTTACAATAAGATGCTGCTGCGTACGTCTAAATATATTTCCAAAATCGTCTTTCACTAAATATGACCTAGGTTCTTTACATTTTTTTACAATAATACCATCTTCCCAATGATCCCCATTCTTAAACATAACCCTTTCATCAACTTTCCTACCTGCCAACTTTGTTGTGTTTTTGTCATGATAAAATTTTTGCTTTTTTCGTCTCTTTATTTTATTTTCTTGAAGTTTTCTTTTATTTATTAGCTCAGGATTAAGCATAGAGTTTACAGTGGGTAAGTTATCTTTTAAACGCCTATTAAACATCATTTGAGCTGGTGATAAACCTAAGTTGGGAATTGGAGTATTTCTATAATTGAGAAGAAAAAAGTCCAAATTGTTTAAATTACCGTTATTTTCATAAAAGCATTTTTTTAACATATTTTTGCAAATATTAACAGATTTCTCTGCTAAACCATTACTTTTTGGGTAGTTTGGGCTAGAAGTAGTTAAAGAGATGTTGTTTTCATTTAGAAACTGTTTAAAGACCACTGAATTAAATGGATTATTATCAGAAATAATTATGCAAGGAAACCCATGTATAGCAAAAACAGGTTTAAGTATTTTTACAATTTCTTCAGCTGTTTTATTTTTTATTCTTTTTAGCTCTATCCAATTTGAAAAATAGTCAATCACTGATAGAAACAAATAACTCTTAAACTCCAAAATGTCCATGGCAATTTTTTCCCATGGTCTTTGTGGCAATTTATGTTGTAATAATGGTAACTTTGGATTATTATTCCGAAATCTAAGGCATATTGTACAATTTAGAAGAAAATTACTAATTTCATCGCTTATGTTTGGCCAAAATATCGATTCTCTAGCTCTAGCCCTACATTTATTAATTCCAATATGACCTTCATGAAGTTTTTGTAACATAAGTTGTCTCAAACTTTTAGGAATTATTACCCTGTCACCGAAAAAAACTAAATCATTTTCAACTGATAATTCATTCTTTACTTGATGAAATTTTTTAAGATCAGCCGATAAATTTTTTAAACGTTTTGGCAAACTGTTGTGAATAAATTTTTTTAACAATGACAAATCTTGATCTTTTTTAGTTTCCATTAATAATTGTACTCTTTTTTGCTCACACATAGGAATTTTCTTGTTTATATCATGAACTATAATGTTATTTTTAGGATCATCTTGTACAGGGTGTTTTAAAGAAGCTCTTGAAAGCATGTCTGCAATAAACATTTGTTTACCAGGCAAATACGAAACTGTAAATTGATATTTTATCAATCTAAGCAACATTCTTTGTAATCTACTAGAGACCTTATTTATATCTTTTTTAAAAATGCTAACAAGAGGTTTGTGATCAGTGTCAACTTGTACATTTTCTTTACCATAAATATAAAAATTAAAGCGTTCTGCTACAAATAAAATAGCCCCCATTTCTCTCTCTATGCAAGCCCACCTTTTTTCTGTGTCAGTTAGAGCCCGACTGGCAAAAGCTATTGGATGTCCATTCTGTAACAAACAGGCACCCATGCCTTCTGAACTTGCGTCACATTGTATAACTAAAGGTTGACTTACATCATAATGCTTTAAGCAAGGAGGAGAAGTTAATAATTTTTTTATTTCTTGTATTCTTTCGGAATGAACTTTTTCCCAATTCCATAATACATTAGTACAAGTTAAATTTCTTAAAGGTGCTGTGATCTGGGAGAGATTTGGAATAAATTTCCCCAAATACTTAACCAAGCCCAGAAATCTAAGTAGTTCTTTCTTATTTTTCGGGTTTTCTAATTTTAAAATTGCCTCTACCCTATCTTTATCCACTTCTATGCCCTTTTCAGATACTTTAAATCCTAGAATTCTAACTTCCTTTTTTTTAAATTGAAATTTATCTTTATTAAAAGTGATATTGTTTTTCTGAGCAGTTTCCAAAACTTGATTCAAGATTCTATCATGTTCTGCCTCAGTATTCCCAGATATTATTAAATCATCAATATAAACTTTGTTTCCTACTATACCTCCAAAAATTCTAGTGTTTCTCATCTGAAAGACTTCCGCCGCTGTGTTAATGCCAAAAGGTAATCTCAAGAATCTATATCTGCCTAAAGGAGTTGCAAATGTTGTGAGTTTTGAAGAATTTTCATCTAACTTGATTTGGTAGAAAGAATCCTTTAAATCTAGCACAGAGAAAAAGTTTTTATTTGTTAAATCACATAGGATTTCCTCTGCAGAAGGTATGGGATAATGTGCTCTTTTAATATAAGGGTTTAATTTTGAAGGGTCTAAGCAAATTCTTAGTTTCTTATTGGGTTTTTCTGTTACCACTATATTATTTACCCAATCTGTCGGTTCAGTTTGTTTGCAAATAACCCCTTCCTTTTCTAAATTTTTTAAACTTTTTTCAAATTCTGGCAATATTGCTTTTGGGATCCTTCTGGCAGGAAAAACACAGGGTTTAGCATCATCTTTCAGAGTAAATTTATATATTTTTTTCTTTCTTTTATATCTTTCAATAGCCTCATACTTAGAAGAAAATGTTATATTTTCAACTGATTGTTGTAAATTATCAACTGTTTTAATTAAATTTAGTTTTAAACAAGATTCCAATCCCAAAATAGGTCTACCATCAACTTTTACAATCAAGAAATCTAATAATTGTTTCTTACCACGTATTATACATTTTAATTTTGTAGACCCTATGACATCAATCCTGGCTCCACCATAAGCTGTGAGATTTAC